GCTATCCTCTGATTTCTAACTAAAACCTGCTTCGTATCTCCATCTTTTCATCATTTCTATCTCTAAACTGTCTCAGTTAACATGTTATACGGCTAAAATTTCATGAACAGGTTATTGATTTTGTACACTTCCTGCTAGTCTGTTGTCGCAGCACCTTTGCCGTTTAATTGGACAAATGAACACAAAGCTTACCTAGAAAACAGTTCATAAACAGGATGTTAGGAAATTTATCTCGCTGTAAAATCTTGAAAGTGATAAAAAAAGTAGATGTTCCTCTTAATTAGGCAAAATTAAGAAAAAAAAGGGATGTTGGGAGAAAAATAACTAAAAATCTAGAGATAATAATGGAATAATTGGGTAAAATATAAAATCATCAATTACTATAATTATTTTGTCAAAATCAATTTCAACTGTGGGGACGACTTTTAAAAATACCATTTGAACATAGTTAAATCCCTAAATATATTCACCTACATGCCCATGACCTTTTTTTCCTATAACTTTTTTTGAAACATATATATAGCTATCATGTTTATAAGCTTCTCCTTCCTCAAGCCATAATAAGCAAAATTGAACAACTTTGCTCTAGGTTCTTCTGGAAAGGCTCTGATAAATCTGCTACGGGTGCAAGAGTCAGCTGGACTAAAATCTTTCAATTAAAATCTGAGGGTGGTCTTGGGCTGAAAAACCTAAAAGATTGGAATAAAGCTTGTTTGATCAAACTCTTAAAGAATCTACTGGCTGGAGAGGGTTCATTATGGATTGCTTGGATCCATGCTTATGTAATAAAGGGTAGAAATCTGTGGCAAATGGAAAACAGAGCCAGTTTCAGCTGGAGTTTCAATCGTATCCTCAAATTACGCAGTGCAGCAACCACACCTATTTCGAATGGTGCATCCTCTATTAAAGACATTTGGCAAGAGATTAGGGTGAAGGAAATCAAAGTTCCCTGGCATTCACTGATTTGGTTCCCACAACATATTCCTAAGCACAGTCTCATTGCATGGATGGCAATCCTCTACAGACTGTCAACTCGAGACCGACTGATGCGAATGGGAATTATCACCGAAGGAAATTGCGTACTGTGCAATGATAAAATGGAATCTAGAAACCACCTGTTCTTTGATTGCGATACTGCTTCATTCTTATGGAAAAATATTATACTTCTCAGCAGCATCAATAAACAATGCTCAACATGGGAGGAATTGCTAGTTTGGGCTTCTAGATCTTGGAAAGGAAAGTCTCTCTTATCTACAATCCTTAAGCTTGCATGGTGTGCTTCTTTATACCTTTTGTGAACAGACGAATATTTAGAGGATACCACCGAGCCAATGATGATCTCCTGATTTGCATCAAAGAATTTGTAGGAATCAAGCTTAGGGGGAAAAACATTAATAGGACTGATAGAGTTAACTCTAACCCTTGTACTTCATGGGGTTTATATTAGAACCGATCTGATGTTTTTTGTATGTAGTTTGTACATTAGGTGTTGAGATCGGTATTTTTTGTAGCATTTTATGCTTCTTTGGGTAATAAAATTGATGAATTATCCAAAAAAATAATAATTTAACAAATATATTATATATGAATTAATTATGTTTTCAATTATACTAATTGAATCCTTAATATTACTTAATTGGTTCATTGACAATCTCTAATTAAATTTAACATAAAAAAGTATATATATTAAACTCTTTGAAAATGGATGAGATTCCTCCAACGGCTTGGCCGGAATATCTTGCTTAGCAAAACGGGCCGTGGAATTGTTAATTATAGATTGAATTGAACCCAGAAGCCCAAAGTATTGTTTTCTTTATGGCCTTATGGAGAGAAATTTACAGAAGTTTTGCCTACCTTCCTCAGAATTCTAGACAGACCCCGTTACCAACTTTTGCATCTTCACCCATAAATCTCTAGAACTCTCGTCTCTCTTACTTATCTCCTATATATCTATGGATCATTTATTCACCTTCCAAATCAGTCTGAATTCAGCTTAAAGTTGTTACTACACCACGTATCAAAGCGTATTCACAAATTTATTTTTAAAGCTTTGGTTGATGGATTTGAGGAACTTCGGCTTCGATTCTCCACTCTTTACAATCCTGGAAGACATGCTTGACATCCCCGAGGAGCAGGAAAAGAGCCGAAACAACCCGTCTCGAGCCTATGTTCAAGATGCGAAGGCCATGGCTGCCACTCCAGCTGACGTGATGGAGTATCCGACGTCTTACGTATTCATCGTCGACATGCCTGGGATAAGCCACAGCGAGATCAAGGTCCAGGTTGAAAACGACAACGTTCTGGTCGTGAGCGGGGAGCGAAAGCGTGAGAAAGACAAAGATGAGAAAGAAGGGGTGAAGTATGTGAGGATGGAAAGGAGGGTGGGCAAGTTCATGAGGAAGTTCCAGTTGCCTGAGAATGCGAATACAAATAAGATATCTGCTGTCAAGATGGGGTTCTGAGAGTCACTGTGGAGAAACTACCTCAACCTGAGCCTAAAAAGCCCAAGACCATTGAGGTCAAAGTTGCATAAAAATGTTGGTTGTTTCATTTCAGACAAATGTTTAAAGAAACGCCTCTGTGTTTTACTTTCTGCAGATTGTGTGAGTGCTCAAGTTCTGTGAACATGTGAAATTAATAAAAAGTCATTTCTTTGTTACCAATTGAAGCTATAGTTGTTCAAATTAAAGCCTTTATTACACTGTTTAGAGTACAACATTTTGAACATCCCGCCAACTAAAATTGGCTTTATACTTGTCGACATTTCCTTGCTCAGATTTGTCCTTTTAGTAGGATTTAAAGGATGAGATGAAGCAGGGGTGTCTCTATCAGGTTTCAACGACGGGTGGTGGTTAATGGATCTATCTTCCCTCATTAATACACTCGGGATACCAATGGCCTACAGGAATTGTGCGAAGAAATCATCAACTTACAGCCTTCTAGAACCGGAAGGCCACGAGGCCCACGACGGTGCCACTGGGGAAAAGTAGTTGCTAGTCGGAAGCCATGCTATATGGCGAGTGGTAAAACAGACTTGACAGCTTCTTCGTTTTCAATTTGGTGGATGGAACAAGTGCTGTAAACTATTCTCTCAAGTTGTGGGACTGTAGCAGAAAATATGAAACATAATCATTCAATAATGCTCTCCAAATATTTCCACGACCTCAACAAAAGGGGGCAAAAAAGTAGTACTTGACTGCTCAGCGCATGCTCTAGTGCTTTCTTTTGAAAGGAGGTCAGCTTGTTAAGTCTCTCTGATTCATCTATATTTGCAGCATGATCTGCATAATTTGATATGAAAATAATAAAAAACATGAAACAATCTGGAGAGAACTAAAAACTATGAGCAGCACATAGCTCACCTTGTTTAACAGATTCAAAACCAAAATGAGCGGCGATTACTATAATCATTAAAAGGCTTTCAAGAAACAAAGACATTAACCTGCACCAATTATGCATACAGGTACATGCGGCAGAAGATGGAAGCAAATGGTCCAATCTCTCAGCGACTGTATCAGATCCAATGCAGGAAGTGATATGCATCACAAATTTCACATTAAAGGAAGATAGACTAACCTTTTCAATTGATCTATACTAACAAGCCTTGGAAAAGAACAATAACAGAACATCAGACTTGCGACTACTTTTCGAATGAGATCTTAATCTTATTTAGTCAACATTTATTTTAGAGATATAAATGATTGTCTTTTAGCTTTCTAACATTTTTGAATCGCATCAATCCGATATAAGAAATTAAAGATACGTTCATTTTTTTGAAGACAACATATGCAGAAATTCTTATACGGGATTTCATAAATATTTTAAATTTTTATTGATTATTTGTAATATAATTTAATATAGGATGATGTATTATCTTTAAAGATTAGATTTATTATTTTATTAGGAATTAAGATTGAATTAAAAACATTATTTTTAGTTTATTATTATTTTATTAGAAATTAGGATATAATCGAAACATTATCTTTATTCATTAGTAATGTTACAAGGACTTCTCACCTATATAAAGGAAGTTTCTTTCAACTTTGAAAAATTCATTAGTAATGTTACAAGGACTTCTCACCTATATAAAGGAAGTTTCTTTCAACTTTGAAAAATTAGATTTCTTTGATTAAAATATAATAAGAATTCATTTTTACAAGTGTTGATTGCCTTGTGCCTTTGAAGCATTCTTTTCATTAAGTTTTTTAATGTTCTTTGCAAGAGATCTTCATACTCCGGTTTACCTTCTCATTGCGATTAGGAGGACTGATTAGAGCTGATTATCGTGTTTACTTAGTCAATTGTAGCTAGGAGGGTTCGTAGGACAACTATCTATCAATCATCATCGAATCACCATTCTAGCCTATCACCAATAAAACCCTAACTTGGTTAAGTTATTCTTATCATATTTTTATTATTATTTTTTGGGATAAGTAAAATTTTTATTCATCCAAAAGAAAGCAGCAAAACTGTTACAAAGAACAATACAAACACTATATCAACCCCCAATTAAGGCACAATTATCTAATTACAACATCAGTCCTATTCATATGACATCTATTAAGCTTAATTCTAACAGCCTCACTAATTCTATTTACAATTGAATCGGTCGAGCGAGTCACTCCTCTAAAACATCTGTGATTTCGCTCATCCCAAATAAAGTAGACAAAACTGGTCCAAGCTAACTTAAGAATATGAATCAAGAGGGACTTACCTTTAAAGTTCAGAATCATCCAGCGTATAGCATCATCCCAACATCTCGACATTTGGTGATGCAGACCACAAGAGTGCATAATTGCACGCCAAACATCGCACGCAAAGGAGCATTCCAGGAATAAATAGTTACGAGTTTCCTGACTAGCCCCACACAGTCCACATAAATTGTCAGTCACAATACCAAAACGCCCAAGTCTGTCCTTTGTTGGCAGTCTATCCAACAGCACCATCTAAGATACCACAGAGAACTTGGGAACATGAGCTGGGAACCAAATCAGCCGATGTCAGTCCACATTTTCTCTCATTTCTCTGATATTGTCCCAAATCCATCTGCCATTAATCTGTGACAAATTAACCATAGGACTGAAAAATCTTCTAGCCTCCTCCCTCATCTTGATCAGCTTGCAAATAATCCAACTGAAGTGAGTTTTGCTATCAACCTCCCAATAGTGTACTGATTTAAAACAGTAAGTTTTCACCCAAGCAATCCATAAGGACCCCTCCCCCGCAAGAATGTTTTTAATTAGCATGAAACAACAAGCCTTGCTCCAATCAGCCAGCTTCCTAAGGCCTAGACCACCCTCATATTTAAGGGTGCAAACCTGATTCCAGCTAACTTTAGTCCCTCTTGCTGAAGTATCACTGTCCTTCCAGAAAAACCTCAAGCAAATCTTCTCAATATCCCTCATAACCCCCTTAGGTAATATGATCGGCCTGCACCAGTAACCAAAAATACTGAAAATAAAAGACTTCACAAGCTGTAATCTACCCCCAAAATTGAGTTTCCTGCTAGACCATTTGTCAATCCTACCTTTGATTTTCACAAGTAAAGCCGAGCAGTCCTTACTTGTGAGCTTACATGTAACCAAGGGCACCCTAAGGTACCTAACAGGAAGCAAGCCTATCCTAAAACCAATAGCAATTTGGATCATTTCCAGCTTATCCCTAGCCACTCCACAAGCAAACAACTCAGTCTTCAAAGCATTCAACTTAAGACCTGAGAGTTCATAGAACTTTTCAAGAGTACTAACTACTCCCAACATAGCATCCAAAGACCCACGGCAGAACAAAAGCAAGTCATCAGCAAAACATAAGTAAGTGAGGGGAATTCTTTTGCACTTAGGATGAAATCTGAAAACACCATTCATTGCTGCAACATCCAACAGGGCAGATAATACATTCATAACAATAATAAAGAGATAGGGGATAGAGGATCCCCTTGTTTCACCCCCTTGCACCCTTAAAAAAATCTCCCCAAGCTTTCATTCAGAGATATTGAATAACTAGGGGTAGTAATACAAGATTTTATCCATCCAAAAAAACCTCAGGCAAACCCATAGCTTCCAAAACAGTCATAAAAAAATCCCAACCAATTGAATCCAAGGCATTTTGCAAATCTATCTTAATAGTGCATCTAGGAGAGAGATTCTTCCTAGAGTATCCCCTTATAATTTCTTGGGCAAGCAAAGTGTTATCAACTATGTTTCCACCATTAACAAATGCTGACTGGTTAGGGGATATCATGTCAGAGAAGAACAAAACTAATCTAGTAGCTAAAATTCTAGTGATTGTCTTGTAAATCACTGAGCAGCAAGAGATAGGCCTAAAATCCTTAGCCATGCAAGCATTTAAGGATTTAGGGGCTAAGACTAAGACAGTGGCATTAAAGGAAGGTAAGAGGGTTGAGGTTTGAAAAAAGTACCTTACAGCATTTAAGAAATCATTACCTACAATCTCCTATGCAACCTTGAAGAACCAAGAAGTGTAGCCATCAGGTCCATGACTTTTATTGTTTCCTTGTCTGAACAATGCATCTTTTATCTCAGCATTAGTTATCTCAGCAGTAAGAACATCAGTAGCACCAGTAGGAAGGGAATAAGTCAGGACATATTTAAGCCACTCAACAGAACAACCCTTCACACTAGAGTCAACAGTTCCAATAAGATCCTTGAAAAAATTCTGAAGAACAACTGCCATATTCTCAAAAGATTCATGATAAATCCCACCATCATCTTTAATAGCCTTAATAGTGTTCATCTTCTTGTTTACTTCTACTCTCTGATGAAAAAACCTAGTATTCAAATCACCTTATTGCAACCAGTGGACCTTAGCTCTTTGTTTATAAAATTCAGATTCAACATCTTCAAGAGCTACTAGATCATCTCTAAGTTTACTCTCCTCCTCCAGCCTCATTTGATCCACATTAACAAGATTTAAAAGTTAAATTGATTCAAGCTCAGCCCTTTTAACAACTACTCTGCTAGAAATATCTGAAAAATGGCTTCTGTTTAATTCCTTTAATAATGGATTAAGTCTCTTCAACTTATTAAAAAGTAACTGCATAGTATTGCCCCCACATTGCTCTAGCCAAGAGTCTTTAACAACCCTCAAGAAATTTTCATTAGCAGTCCAACAATTAAAAAACTTGAACGGCTTTGGCTTATGAACCTGAGCCCTTTTCTGAGTCCAAATAACACCAGGATAATGATCTGAAACACCCTGGGCTTTAAATTCCACAGCAGAGTCTGGAAACTCAAATAACCATTGAGGGTTTATTAAAATTCTATCTAGCTTGCGAGCTAAGAAGGAATTTTCTTGCTTGTTTGACCAAGTAAAAAGAGGACCAATGTAAGGATGATCTTGAAGCTCTAAGTCCACCAAACACTCCTTAAAATCATCCATGTCAGAATTCTCTTGAGCATCAAAATCTCCCCCAACCACCCAAGAAAAGGAACCGACATCAAATTCCAAGCTCTTAAGATGAGCCCATAAGCCTCTCCTGACCAGACTGTTGTTACTGCCATATACATCAGTAATAACCATCTTATGACCAACCACATCACCAACAATTGAGATAGCCTGATCACATATCTTAAGAACAGATAAAGGTAGTCTCTTTTTCTAAAGTAACCAAAGTCTACCTCCATCAGAGAACCCATAATTATCTGCTAAATTCAAATCAACAGCCAGTGCATCAACAAAACTAGGAAAATTAGCTCTCCTAACTCTAGTTTCCATGAAACATAAAACATCAACTCCTAAATTCTCCAATCTTCTAAAGACTTTCCCTTTCTTGAGCCCATTATTGATCCCCCTAACATTTCAGAAGCTTATGATCATCTATTAATAGTAATATGAGGAACACCAACACTAGCAACAATTTATTTAGCCTTCACTATATGTTCCTTATTTTTAGATTTAATCTCATTCAGGAGCAATGCAACCCCCAAGGAAGCTACCTTAGCCATCTTATTTCCATTAACAGCACCACCTTATATAAGCAAGTCCATCTTACTACATGAGCTTGTATTAACCATCTTCTTCCCATGTGTCTTCTATTTCTGAATTAAAGAGTCTTGCAGGGAAGGAAACTTACCACATCTAGTGTTCTCTTGATCCACTGAAGGCAAAGACCTATCAGCCGCAACCCCTGGCAGGCCCTCACCAACCTGGTCAACGGAATGTTGTAAATTCTTATCAGTTACATCAGAAATAACCTTAACAGGTTCTTGAGAGAAGCCAATATTATCTTCAACAATCACTTGTACCGTATCCTGTACGTTCTTGTAGAGCATGAACTGACAGCTCCTCAACATCACCAACCTTCAGCTCAGAAGATAAAAGCTTAGGCACCTCTCCACACTGTGCAACAGAATTAGCTACTACATTGACAATTTTGTCTGACTTCTCAAGAAAACCAGGGTTAGAATTATCCTTTCGCCTCCAAATCAAATTATCTTTAGTTTTCCCCTTAGCTTTAGTAATCTCAACACATGAATGGGTCTGATTCCCAAAGATTTTACACTGAGTACAAAACTTATGGAACCAAGGAGCATAGACACAAATCATCACTACAGAGCCATCATGCAATACTACATTGATTACATCAGGTAACAATGTCCCAGCCTCAACCTCCACACATACCTTGGAAAATTCCAATATCTCATTCGAAGCAGTAACATAATCCATATATAAAGGGATCCCAACAGCACTAGTTATATAGCTAAGGCCTCCCCTAGAAAAGAGCTCAAGAGGAACATCATAAAGCTGGATCCACACTGGTATATGCTTAAAATCAAAGTCTAGTTTCTTTAAGCTCGGCTCCCATTTCCTTAATACTAGGGGTTTATTTTGAATGTTCCAAGAGCCATTCTCCAAAACCCAGTCCCTCATTTCAGCATTCGAAAATGTAAAAACATAGAGGTTATGTCCAGTTAAGCTCACCTTGACCGACCCTCAGAGAATCTCAGCAATCCTCTGTATGGATCCAAAATTAGGGGGAGATCCAATAAATTGACCTACTACATCATAACTCCATTCAGCGATCCCTCCTCAAAAACAACAGACGGAGGCTTGACAGTAGCAGTTCCCTCCGAAACTTCAGGCGGAAAGAAATCTAGGGCATGCTCCTTCGTTCCATTGAAAAGTTTCCTCCAATCAAGAGCAGAAGCTAGCGATTCCATCAAAAATGAAACTAAGTTGAGACGAAAACACTCAAAATTAGCAAACAGGAAGCATAAATTAGCAAACGAGAAGTACATCCGAGAGCCCATCAGCCCTGTTAACGTGCGCCCGGAGAGGTTCTATCGTTCTCTAGTGGGGGGAAATTATACAACCTTATCTAGATTGTTTTAATCTTATCCGAGAGCCCATTGTTTTATTATTTTTTATATTTACTTTATCTTTATTGTTTTAAATCTTATTCTTCTTATTCAATTTCCAGTAAACTCTAAAAACTTTAATTGTCATTGTCTCTCCATCTCTTTCTCCTTCATTCTTTAATTGAATATAGATTTTTTTTAAGTTTAATTCTTTAACGACGAATAACGTTCATAATTCCGTTGTCATTCTCTATCAGGAGGATCCAAAAGAATAGCACGGACCTGCAATCTACATTTGCTTGAGAACTCAAATAATTAAGAAGACAAGAAGTCTACAGGAAAAAGATAGATTGATGTTGAAAACTAGGGAACAGAAATGTACACACTATGGGGTGGGCTGCGTGGGCTTTAATTGAAAGCACATATACGACTAATTGCTATTGTACTTGACTTAAGCCAGTCCAAACTAATGTAAAAAAAAATAAAAAAATAAAAAGAAGGCATGTCCGACTTATATCGACTCGGGGCACAAGCTGTAGCATAGGGTTGTAAAAAGCTAACTTCGTATGTAAAACTAATTGTTTGTGATCCAAGCGGAGATAATTCGAAACCGATTCGAGTTTGAATTGGTGTTAATCTGAACCCGAATTGGATATGGAAATTGTAGATATGAACCTGACTTGCACTCGATCTGAGAATGATATAAACCCGAATTGAACCGATAATACGATAACTGAACCTGACTTGCATCCGATCGATATGAACCCAAACCTGAGGTTAACTTGATAAATGACTAGTATTGTCTGACCTATAATTAACTCAATCTGTAAATGATTTGAGTTGTTATTGAATCAATATGATACTTATCTGACTTGATATTTATCTGACTTATAAGTAATAAGTTACCATTGCAATTATGAGATTTTAAATTTACAATTAACTTGTTATAACTAAATTAATAAATTTACTTTTTATATTAATTATAATCCTTATATTATAAATTTTAATTATAATCATTAAATTAATTTTATTATGTAATTTAGTTATTGAACATGATTTTATTAGATTATATAAAATTAATTAAGATATTTATAAGTCTTACTTTTTATGTAAAAATTGATTGATAATATAAATATAATTTAACTTAAAATTTTAAAATATATAAGATGAATTTATTTGAGATTGAAAATTTGAATAACATAATAAATACAAAAACTAATAATTTATAAATGAATAAATAAAATTTATTACACTTTAATACACTAACATTACAATAAAATCAACTAAACAAATTTATATTAAAATTTATGCTCTTATCATCACCCATTTTATTCGGGTGATGGCATTAATATAAACTATATATTAGTATATATCATATACCATTTTCATATTTCATATCCATATGCATCCATGTTATAAATAAATATAGCATATTTTTATCCAAGTCCAAAAATAATAAAAACCTATTAATATTACATACAAGTCCATTTACATATATTAAGACCCAATAAATGAAATTCATTAAAAAAACATTTAGTCCAAATTACAAGTCCAACATGATACAAAAGTCAAAAAATTAAACCTAGATTTTTTTTCTTGGTAATTGGGGAAGTTTTTTTCTTTTGACTTATGACTTAAAAAATATTAAATGGTTCCATATTTTTAGGTGTCATGTCATCAATCTTGATGAATAAAATTAAATCAATTTAGATCATTGATAAAGTTTGGTCCAATTACTATTATTCCTTGCCCCTCCCCCCCCCCAACACACATATAGTCAATTCGTATCCGGTAAGATCTGACTTGAATTTTGTCTGTTAATGATGTGACCTGATTTGAACGATATCCGATTAAAATTCATCTGAATCTGAATTAACTTGGTATTTAAATGTTTCAGACATGAACTGACATAAATTCATACTGAAATTAACTCAAACTGAATCTGATGTCAAATCAACTTAAAATTACCTGAATTGATTTGATTTAGATTTGACCTGATCCGAGTCGAACCATTAAATTGATCTGACTCAACTTATTTTCGATTTGACCTAAGTTAACAAGATCCGACAGAAACCTGAACGATTACCTGATTTTATAATCTTACTGGAGCATACTTACCTTAGAGCATGAATTTAGAGAATGGTCCATTATCGAAATAGTGACTATTATATAATAATAAAAGTGCTGTCCGAGACCCATATTGCCTGTGTTACCACTCAATATCAAATAAATTTCATTTTAGTATTCTATTAGTACGACAGTGACTTCACATATAATGTCAAATTATACTCGTAAAATTTTTGTTTTAATTAAATTTATAACAGAAAATTATAAGTCAATGAACTAACAACATATGTTGATATTTCTATCAGGGTTAGGCTTAAGAGAGATCAATTAGAGAAGCAACAATTGTCAAATCTATCATCTGATAGAATTTGGGTATTGAAAATTCATTAAAAAGTGACCTAATGGAGCTGGAGAAGGTTGAGTCTCTGTTCTATAAACAGAAAGCTAAAGATCAATGGTTACGTGGGGGACCAAAGTATTAAGTTCTTTCATTATGTTGTGTCGCAACAGTCTTTCAGTTGGGTCCCGGAATTGGGCTTCGACTTAAAAAAATGTGAATTGAAGTCGTCACCGATCATTTATTTAAAAATAAATGGGTTGATCGGATACCCTATTTCTTACATGATCTGCGTCTTACAATAAATATGTCGGGCTCGGGAGTCGATTACGGTCAAGGAAGGATTAGCACCCTTGAACCGCCCTTTCGGTACTACGTAATTTCCAGTTGTCTTAATTAAGAAAAATAACAAGTTAAATTAAAAGGTAAAGTTTCGATCCTAATTACTTACCCTTGATTGATTTAAAAATATCCTTTTAAAAAAATCGAGAAATGTGTTAGATAAACAAGATAAAGAAAATAAATAAGATACAAGGGAAAAATAAAATAAATAAGTAAGATAAGAAAAAAATAGTAAAGTAATAATTATATATAGTAATATTTGAAAAAAGGAAAAAATATAAATATACATATATATATATATATCAAAGTATTAATAAAATAAATAAGCTATATATAAACACCAAATACTTAAAAATAGAAAAGCTACCCTCCCAATTCACCGAAAGTGAGGGGCTTTAGTAAGAAATAAGACAAAAAAATGGGCCCTCTAAGTTAGTAGTATATAATATAATGTTTAATAATAATAATGATAAAGACACAAGGTTTTTTTTAAAAAAAATAATAATATAATAATAATGAATAAAAAACAAAAATAATAAAAAATAATATAAATATATAAAGTTATAAGATATATTACATAAATAAAGAAATAATCAAATAAAAATAATTAAGAATATATATATTTAATAATAGGTATATAAATAAATGATTAAAAGTATAAAAAATATATACGACTAGACAAAGATAGTTACAATATATATAAAATAATATTAGACTTATAAGTAAAATATTAAAGAAATATATATATATATATATACATATAATAATAACAACATAAATAATAAAAATAAATGAATAAAATATACATATAATAAATAAAGGGACTAATATAGATTTTTAAAAAGCTCTTTCACTCCTTTAACCAAAAATCAAACCGGTTTTTAAAAATAAGCATCGGGGTAGATCTAGGTTCGAAACTTCGAAACCCCACCCATTTTGGTCATCGGCGCAACCCACGTTTTGGGTTATTCGAACCAAATCTCAAGAAAAATAATGTGCACATGCAAAAGAAAGAAAAAAGAAAATACTACCTTTTATTTCCTTTTCGAATCCTTTATAATAGTTTTGCCTTTGTATCTTCCCGTGCTTTCCTCTATGTTTTGTGTGTAAATCGTGTGTTACAATGGTGAGTTACAATGGCTATTTATAGTGCTTGTGGATCCTATCTTTAGGAATTTAAATCTTAGTAGAACTCTATCCTATTTTTAGGAGTTTGAATCATAGTAAAATTTTATCCTATTTTTAGGAGTTTGAATCCTAGTAGGACAAAAATGAGTATTGACAACTGTCCCTCTTTGCCCATAGTCGTGTAACGGGGATAGGGCAAAGATTAAAAGACACACTTTTCGTTCAGTGGAGTTGAAAATTAACTCTGATGTTTCAATAACTCCCTGTCGAATTGAGTTACGGATGACTCCTCCATCGTAAAGTCGAGTTCATCTTGAAATGATATGAAATTGAAGCCGTAGTTCGGAATTTGAATCAGCACGTGGCTTCCCGTTACCATTCGGTCTTCTTCTCGGTTTAAAGACCTTGGATCGGAATCGAACTCAGAAATCTTCATTGACAGATAGCTTTTTCTTAACTTAAGCTATGTTGTTTGAAAATGGTTGCTTGTCACTAAGGCACGGCTAACCCAGGTTATCTTCTCGACTTGAAAACCTCGACTGCAACCGGAAAGTAGTGCGATTGATGTGTCATCGAGCTGAATGGAGTCGAACTCGACAATTTTGATGGTAGATAATCCTTCTTTGAGTTGGATATCCTTCGTCGTGAAGTTGAAATCCAAGTAAGTAGCATTGTTCCGAGTCCAATATCCTCCGTCG